ATAAAACAATGCAACAGCATGCCATACGCTTCCATAGCTTAGGAAACCGATCGATAATGGCATGATACAGATTTACAGTGCTTATAGCATTACATATAATTTGATTACATAACACTATCAAGGGACGTGTATAGGTCATCCCGATTTCTCGCGGTATGAGGGCATTACAATACGATATAAATACATATATATGTAAAAATCTACATATCATGAGAATATTGCTATTATTCCCGATCAAGGGTGCAGAGTTGCGTCCCTTACAAGTGCCGGAATACTATGATCATGGGTTCGAATCCCAGATTCGCACTGATTATGATTCTTGATGTGTCAGCTTGCCCGTATTCGGACGTTCCACAAAATTGGAAGATGTGAAAGACCTGCATCACTCCGAGGTTTTTTTCTTCTTCAAATACACAAATATGTATAATATGTATAAACAAATGTATATGCGTATGTATATGTATAAAATGTATAACATTATTAAAAACATATATTTAAATGTATAACAAATGCATTGTATGTATAAATGTATTAAAAATACATGTGTAGTGTATAAAATGTATTATACAAGGGGCGTTCAATAAGTTTTGCAACTTCAATATAAGACCAGGGCTGTTGGGTGAGTGATTTAACTGTAGAGCCCAGACTTGGCCCCCAGTGACTATTTCCTGTTCCGGCAAATGAAATCTGCCCTACGTGGAAGACGCTTCCAGGATGACGAGGACATAAAGGCTGCTGCAGAGGCGTGGTTAGAGGACCAATCTGCGGATTTCTATAAAAGTGGTATTAAAAGCTTAAAGGACAAATGGAATAGGTGTATTGAGGTGAATGTAGATTATATTGAAAAATAAAAGTGCAAAAGATATTCTGCGACTTGGTCTTATATTGAAGTTGCAAAACTTATTGAACGCCCCTCGTATGTATAAAATGTATAATCTGTATGATGGGAATAGAATGAAAATAAGTCAAAGGTTGACCCGCATTAATGACAGGCTTATATAACATATGTGTGTGTAGAAAAAGCACAGTAAAGTTCTAACTCTCAGGCACAATGTAGTAATAATTAAATAAGTGGAGTAAGAATGAACACAGTTTTTATTGGCTAGCGCTCATCAGGCCATAGGGTGTGTGTGTGTGTGTGTGTGTGTGTGTGTGTGTGTGCGTGCGTGCGTGCGTGCGTGCGTGCGTGCGTGCGTGCGTGTGTGTGTATGTGTGTGTGTGTGTGTGCGTGCGTGTGTGTGTGTGTATGTATATATATATATATACATACATACAGATTTGGATACACTTTCCTTATATCATTTTGCAACTCTGAGTTTCACGCAACCATGTTATTGCGTTGTTATTGGATGTTAGCATGAGAATCTCGAGCTTCTCTTCCAACAAGCTAAACAAAAGAAGCGAGCTCATTTCCACCTGTCGCCATGGTAAAACCCCCAAGCCGAGCAAAAAAGAAAGAGTCAAACTAAAAACCATGTTTCATTATGCCTGATGATCGTACGCAATAACATGGGTGCGTGAAACTCAGAGTTGCAATATATATATATATATATATATATATATATATATATATATATATATATATATATATATATATATATATATATATATATATTGCAACTCTGAGTTTATATATATATATATATTTGTAGATGATAGTGATCTGTGACATTTTCTGTCATAAATATTTAGTGATCTTTTTGGTAGTCACTGATAATGCTTGCTGAAAAAAGTCTCTCCTAACCCCTTTGGTATTGTCATGACTTCAAATGAGTCTCATATTACGATTGTTAATGTGTTATGTATCTGGAACGCTTGTCAGTTGTACATTGGTGTCCTACTGCTGGTGTATACAACATAGACCTACGTGTACAGGGTGATGGGGTATTAAATGACATGTGATGGATGATGAATTGAAATGAAAACAAACACGTTCATGAAAACTTCATGATAATAGTGCATGAATAATTGAGTTGATCGACAGAGTAAATAGTTCATTCACAACGACGATCTAGTGGCTGGCATTCAAAATGTCACATCTTTACAAGCGGCGAGATACACGATAATACCCTATTGATCCCATAGAATTCCAACCCATATAAAGAATTCCAACGTAATTTCTGGAATCATATCCAATCACAAAGAATCTGCTACAGTATGTATAAACCAACGCTTATCTTCGAATTGACAAACAAGGCACGTTAAACGCGTTTCACATACCCCCAAACCGTGATGAGGCATCGCTCTTTATGTTAGGAGCTGATGTAGGCTTTTTTGTCTGTATGTAATATACATGATAGTAGATGCGATGTTTGAAGTTTGTCTTTAATATCCTTTTTCTGGTGATCAAAACAAGCTTATATTATTTGAATGTTAATCCCAAGATACATCTATTCGAATAATAGCTTGTCGGTTGAGTGCTTGTGCATCGGGTATTACGTGGCTTGTCTGTAAGCTAATGGCTAAGCGGGGACTAGTGGACGTCAGGTGGTATTTTAAGAAAATATACTCGGAGTGAGTGGTTGAAATAATTTGTGTACATTACAGAATCCTTAACTTGGTTTACCACTTGTTGGGGTACAAATTGAAAGATTAATGTAATATTTTTATTTTTGCAGTTGAATTAAACGTCCCCGGGTGGTAAACTCACTGTGACGCTACTGGTTGTGAACAACGCCGTGACCATGATGCCGACACGGACGTTATGTAATTAGTGGGGATGTCCTGCTGGCCCTGTGTGTCATGGTGAAGCTATCGGGGAGAATTGCACTTGCAAGAAATATTCTCCAGTTGATTATGACTGTCATCCCTCATCGGATCGACCCCCCTCCTCCCTTACCCCCCATCAGAGACTCCCCCAACGCCACGCCACGCCACGCCACGCCACGCCACGCCACGCCACGCCACGCCACGCCACGCCACGCCACGCCACGCCACGCCATACCACACCACACCATACGATACAACACAACACAACACACCATGTCCGAACATACACACCACACGACATCAGACAACACAACACCACACCACACCACACCACACCACACCACACCACACCACACCACATCAAATCAGACAACACCACACCACGGCACATCACATCACATCACATCAGACACATGCACACCACACCACGCCACACCACATCAGACAACACAACACCACGGCACACCATACCACATCAGACAACACCACACCACGGCACATCACATCACATCAGACAACACCACACCAGGGCGAATCACATCACATCAGACACATGCACACCACACCACGCCACACCACATCAGACAACACCACACCACATCACATCAGACAACTGCACACCACATCACGCCACATCATATCAGACAACACCACACCACGGCACATCACATCACATCAGACACATGCACACCACACCACACCACGCCACACCACATCAGACAACACCACACCACACCACACCATACCACATCACATCAGACAACTGCACACCACACCACGCCACATCATATCAGACAACACCACTCCACACCACGCCACATCAGACGTAACACCACACCACATCAGACAACACACAATCCCGACCCCCACCCCACCCCCCAAAAAACCCACCCCCCACCGACACAACGACAGTACGCATGTACCCAGCTACACCAGTGTGGTGGATGCCCGATGTTAGTGCAACTATAGTATTGACGTTTATAGTTTCAATACATTCATCAGCTCGATTCCAACTTGCTGTGTCATTTGCTCAAAGCCCGACCTTTCAACACCCAGCGTGTTACCCCTGAAAAGAACGAGAACACCCGGTGTCGCCAGTGATATGTCACAGCTATTTTGAATAATTTCGATCTTATTTTGGTGACTGAGCTACAGGGAAGAATACCATATGTTTCTGTCGACTCGAAATCTTTACTTCTACACCAGGGTTAGAATACCCTCCCCCACCCGTATATCACCCCATGCAATAAACGTTAACATGTGAAGGTCCAGCACAAGTAGATTTGTCCGTTTCTGTATCGCTCGCGATGAAGCACAATGTTGTATGGTCCAGCGCCAGTATGCAATATACATGCAATAGATGTGCTGTTTGATCATAGAAAGATTACATAATTTTAGCATTAATTCCTAAATACCTCCAGAATTATACAATATGGTAAGGTACGGGGGCACTTATTCCCAAAGCGTTGATTTTGTGATTAATTAACTGCCAAATATATTGTGATGCTCTATAAGTCATTCGTCATCGTTACATTACAAACGAGAGTAATATTCCACACAAATACTTGAAATATGTTTAAACATTAAAAGAAACGTAACTGATATCCCACCTATATGCGTCCGATATCATTAACGGATAGAAAATCAATCTCCATCTATACATAAAGAATTTAGTGTTTCTCTATCTTATTTTCGCTGAACGTTTCCAACCAAAGATAACAAAATACACAAAATAATTTATATGGTTGGCGGTTTACCGAAACACATAGGACCTAGAGTAGTCGCCATCGCTTGCTGTGATGTCTATGCGATTCGAGTGTGGACGGCTCGGTGACAGTGGTGGTCACCAACTGTGGCGTATCCACACACCTTTTCTTCCACATTAAGAGCGTCTTGTGTTCTGTTAGATGTCCTTATATACTAAGGATTATTTGTGCCCCCGTGACGCGATGTGGCACTTAGCATTATACCATCCACCCATTTCCTTTATAACTCATAAATAGTCTAAGCACAAGCGTGTTATCGACATACCGTTATGTAACCTACAGGTGAAAAGTAGACATTGCTTATCCTTTGGTCAAAACGTCTAAATTTTATGCAGTCGTAATCTTCCATCACCTTGTTCTTACTATTACTGCTCTAACTGTTCATATATACACAATAAAAGTGTAATCATCCCAGTTTAATATCGCCGCCACCACTTTGTCAAATCGTTTACCTAGCGCTACGTCTGAATGCACTTAACTGAGACAACATACCACTGTAGTAGACATGCACAATAAACAACGTACCTGGAGCCTGCAGGATGACGATAAACACACCAAGCCCCGCAATAAACATTCCAGAACACTCCATAACTCGAAGCAACACGAAGCACAGAAAGTTTCCAAATCACTGATTGGGGGTACTCCCAATCAGGTCCTCACGACTCCGGTATCCTCTGCCTATCCTTCTTGCCTCCGCCGAGACCAAAGATGTATCTCCTGAGCAGGATCGTCAAGGAGCTTCCTTTAATTGCCTTAGTTCTTCCAAATTCGCCACCAGTATCAATGAAGCTCTTTAAAAATTAACATCTCGTGGCTAGCGGCTGTTAAGATGACATGATGATAGGTGTTGGTCAAAGAATTGGATAAGATACCTAGCTTTCGCTGCTAATCTGGCCCTTGAATATTCAAGTCTTGCGGACTCGTTGACTTTATTTACGAAAGCTAATTAGACACATTGCAAAGTTGCCTTCAGACCTTATAATTATGTTCTTTGACATTAAGATAATTAAAATGATCCTCACGGGAAATTTCACAGATAGAATGACATAATATCATCCGTATGAAAAGATGTTGAGACACTGTTCCAAGTATCCAAAACAAGATGCTCTAAGTAAAGTTTCCTTAGTCCCGAATTTGTGACAATCCGTTCAGAAACACCACTGTCTTGGGAGAAACAAAGGTGCTCAAATGTGTCAATTAAGACCGACGTGTCACTCATTCACAACCGCTGATGTCCGAACCCTCCTACCGGTGATGCTAGGAGTCTGCCCCTATACTGAGTGTACCCCGAGACTCACGAGATGAGCGCGAGCGGAGTACTTGGTGATCGCTCTATTGCTGGTTGGCTGATTGGGACGCAGACCGATGGCGGGCGGGCGGGCAGGCTCTTCCCTCGACTGTCGAGAGAGGACTAACTGTAAGACAACTCGCAGAGAGGGAAGTATCGACCGTATTAACATACAGTTAGCAATCACTTGTAAAACAAATATCAGTAAAGACAAACACCCGCTACACCGCAACATAACGAAGTGATATAAGAGTCGTAATTATTGATGAAGAAATGGACTCAGCGGGATGGTGTACAGGCAGACATTGTTTATGATTTGAATTGAACATCAGCTGATGAAGGGGGATGGGACCGGAGAGCGCAGGGGGAGAGTGCGGATGCCACTGGAAGAGGTTATAGGGTGTGTTTCAGTTGATTTCACCACGCGGAGATGTTCTGTTGTGTTGGTGTAAACAAGCGATCTGTATGTGATACACAGTATATGTGCGGTACTTCGAACGCAAGACTTAGCTGTCGGAAATACGAGTAAGTGAGTTTGGTTTAAGGCCGCTTTGAACAGTTTTTCAGTTATATCACGTCCTTTCAGTTTCATGTGGGGGGAAAGCTCGAAGTGATGCATGACTTGAAAAAGTAAGATGGATGTAAAGGTTTTGTATATCGAGGGAGCTTGGAATCTTTTCATTTTTTTACTAAACTTTATCTCTGTTGTACTGGCTGAAGGGAATATGTTTCCGAGGATGTGTCCCGAGTGTCCTTTAATATCAAGCATATCATAAAAAATAGATCACTTACTGAAATCCAAGCCTTTGTGAGGCGTTTTAGTACTTTTAGCGACAATTGATTTTTATCCTCCAATATTATTTTTAATTATTAAGCATATTTTTCATGGGAAATGAACATGTTATGGTTTTTTTAATCACGACGACAATTTTCGCACTTGTTTTATCATTAAACCAGCGTTATCACTATAAGGGATACAAACAGGACTTACCCACATCATATCCATGTTGAGAGTTGACCACCGGTCTTCAGCCCGAGGGAGCCAACGCCTTAACCACAGGGCTATTCCATCACCCCTGTTAGTTTATGAATGAGTGAGTGGTCTTGTGGACAGAACCCCTGCCCGGTGCGGAAAGTCGGTGGTTCGATCTTGGTTACGTCATACCAAAAGAGACAGCCTCCGTGGTCTTGTGGTAGAGCGTCCGCCCGGAGAGCGGAAGGTCCAGGGTTCGATCCCGGGCCGCGTCATACAAAAAGACGTTAAAAGATTGTACTTGTTGTTACCCTGTCTGGCGCTCGGCATTAAGGGGCTAAAACAAGGACTGGTCGGCTCGGAGTCAGTATACTGTGTCTGAGTGGGGTATTCATGTTAAACTGCGGCATGGTATCTGAGTGAGCTAGCACTATAAATCGGCATCAGTCCGGACTAGTACAAGCAGCCACACACACAAATACACGTACACGCACGTCGCTATATAAGTGCAATAATCTTGGACGCGACGTTAAACCCAATTTCACCTCACCTCATACCAAAAGACGTTAAAAGATGGTTCTTGTTGTACCCTGGCACTTGGCATTAAGGGTATAAAAGAAGGACTGGTTGGCTCGGAATCCGTATACCGTGTCTGAGTGGGTCGTCCATGTTAAACTGTGGCAGTAGGCGTGTACTATAAAACCAACATTAGTCCGGACTAGTACAAGCAGCCACACACGTGTGCATGTACGTCGTCATATAAGAGCACAAATCTTAAACGCGACGTTAAACACCATTTCACCCTATCTTAAATTATTTCAACATTGTGGACTTCTTAAGAGTGAGTGAGTTTTGTTTTACGCCGCTTTTAGCAATATTCCTCCTGATTCGGACACCAGAAATAGGCTTTACACATTGTACCCATGTGGGGAATCGAACCGGAAGCTTCGGCGTGACAAACGAACGCTTTAACCACTAGGCTACGCCATGGCCCCACGTAGCATTCAAAGAATATCGAATACACCTGTCTTCATTATTCCACATATCATAAATGTCACTTAAAGACATAAAGCTTGCAGATAGCAAAAGGGTTCGTTACAACCAATAATCTTTTTATCCGAAGTTGTTTGCATCATATGCAGTTATGCCGCGTTCACTCGAAGTCCTCTCAGCGGCCTAATGAAATGCTTGCATGCATGTTTCCACCAATGACGTCATCGAGGTTTGGTAACACCTCCTCAGCTGTCCAGAAAGCTAACGCTTTGTCAGGTAAGGTGAACAAAAATTAGGTTTAACGTCGCGTTCAAGATTATTAGACTGATATAGCGACGTAAGTGCACGTGTGTGTGTGTATGTGTGTGTGTGCGCGCGTGCGTGCGTGCGTGCTTGCGTTCGTGTGGCCGGCTGCTTGTACTGGTCCGGACTTATGCAGGTTTTATAGTGCTAGCCCCATGAGATACCATCCCGCTGGTTAAACATGTGTACCCGACAGACACAGCATACCTTACCTTACCGACCAGTCTGTTTTATCCAGGGCCATCTCTTAACGTTCTTTGTTTTGGCATGACGCGGCCGGAAATCGAACCCACGACCTTCCGCACTCCGGGCAGGCGCTCTATCCACTAGACCAAGTAGAAGGTAACGCTTTGTGATAATAATAATGGCCCCAAATAGTGTCTGACAAGTTTGTTATTAACATCATAATCGGCTTTTATCTTTGATTGTTGTAAACGATGGCTCCCTGCTTTTCCCAACATGCTGGCTTTCCATTTGTTTCAAAACCCATCGTGAATTTCTGTCACAATGAGTTAGGATATGCCACAAAAAACTGAAAAAGATTTCTTTGTATTTTATTTTAAGATCTACTTAGAAACCCAAGAGCCAGGAAGAGCTAACTCTTTGTGTGAATGGCAATCACAATAAATACTTCGACGCATCATCGACGGAATTTCGCTTCCGCTATTGTAGACGATTTGTGAAAAAACAGCTTTTCTCAGAGAACGTTGAACACTGAAATGTGGTGAAAACTTTAAATGGATGTTTGTCATCATACTGGGTTTTAATCCAGTTAAATGCATCAAAATTGAAAGTTGAGTTTTTGTTGAACAATTCAGATTGCAATAAAAAAAATAATCTTCCCAAAGGCACAAATCCTACGGTGATAGCAATGCTGTATAGCGTTACACCGGCCTTGTAACAGATCAGTTGTCGAATGAATTACGAGCATATCATCAGTCCTTAAGGACAGACAGACCGACCGACAGACACTTTATTCGGTAGCTTAGGCAAACAACCCATAATACATCAACTGTACGAATATAAAATAGCATACTATTGAGTTGAGCATATACCTGATAAAGTTAAAACATATGAACTAGAAATTATTTTTATAGATGTGAAATCTCTTAACTTTTTAACTTTACCAAAACAATTTAAACTTTAACAATAGATGTGGGCATTACAAAAACAGGAAAAGGTCAGTGGATAACGGTCTAATAGTAGGTTGGTACAAAACTGGTGGCACCTACATTCACTTACTGTTGTAATGCAATAATGGCGGATAATATCTAAATTGAGATACGTATCAGACTATTATTTGTGCACCAGGGTTGAGGAAGTTCTGTTGCAAGATTTGTTCAGCAAAGTTCATTCTTAATGACGGATATTTTCTTTACACGACAAACAAGAAACCTCTGCTATCATTTTTATGACCTTGGAACAAAATAGAAATATCGACAGTCTATTATGCCAAGCTGACACATCCATTAATCATACTTGTAAATATTACCCACCGTGTGGGCGGCAGCTTTCCAAGGTTCCCTATATAGTGTTCGTGTCCGTCTATATGGTACAATACAAAACATTGGGTAACTCTTTTTCAGATCAATTACAATTGTTCAATGACCTTTTTCCTGGCCCAGTTATTGAGTCAGCATATACAGTAAACTACGGTTATAACGAGTGGGTGAGTGAGTGAGTTGGTTTTAACGCCGCTTTTAACAATATTCCAGTTATATCACGGCATGGAAATCAACAATTGAACCAACTTGACGCCCATGCATGGAAATCAACAATTGAACTAACTTGGCGCCCATGCATGTAAATCAACAATTGAGCGCCCCCGCATGTAATTTTTGTCAAAATGAACGAAATCATAACGAAACGTTCCTGCTTGAATAATTAATATAAATTGACGCAAAAAATGTCGACATGGCTAAAATGATCACAATAAATTACGTAAATATGTCCCACGACGTCAAAACGTTTAGAGACGTTTCCGTAGTACATATACTCATGTACATAAAAAAACGTCAATACCAGAGGATAATCAGTCTCGAATATCCGAAACACAGATTCCATTGGAAAAAAACAGCAAGACGGTGGTGAAAACCGTATGATAATGGCCCACTGAAAAACCAGTAGTGACACCAGGTGTTCGCGCAAAGGTTAAACATGTCCACCCCCCGGGAAACACGTGAGACCACTTCACCTTCAAGGAACCATTTAAAAAACAAACATCTATAGCATTAACGTATATTGCATTCACTGTTCGTATGAATTTTAAAAAACCCCAATGTAAACGTTGTTTTTATTTTGTGTAGCGTAATTGTATACATGTATTTATGCTGTGATCTGCAGGGTATCGACACGGCGGTAACTAGATTAGGTAACTTCTCGTTCATCAAATAACAGAGAAAAAGCCCTTCTGCCGACACTCGCCCTATAGTATTACTTCGACCTGTGTTGCCGAGGTTAACTTATTTCTTCGTGGCGTATAAGAACGACGTGCTATTAAGACACCTAAAAGTTAATTTTATCATCAATTTTAAAAGTATATGTTTTCTTGAATCGTTTATCAATTTAATGGTTTAATTTTATTCGGCCTGGTAATTCTTTTACAAATGCCTGCGAAACAGAAGCCGAGAGAAGCCACATGGTTAATTAGTTTATATAGATGTGTTTAATGTCAGTTGTATAATTTATATTTTGTTTTCAAGGCAATCTAGAATAGGTTTAATCGTTGAACAAAGAGTGGACATTGTAGAGTATGAGGTTGGGTAATGTACTGAGTAAATCCCACATTGAGAGAGGGGGTCAGAGGTACAGAGGGGTGAGAGAGAAATTAAGG